GGGGGGGGGGGGGGGGGGGGGGGGGGGGGGAGGGGAGGGGAGGGGATGGGATGGGATGGGATGGGATGGGATGGGATCCATGGGATGGGATGGGATCCATGGGATGGGATGGGATGGGATGGGATGGGATGGGATGGAATGGAATGGAATGGAATGGAATGGAATGGAATGGAATGGAATGGAATGGAATGGAATGGAATGGAACGGGAGGGCCAGGGTTTTGGGCCGGGGTTTGGAGCAGGCACAGAAACCGATGGAGGCTGATTGTCCATGAAGGGTGATGCGGTGGCCGGGGCAACTCTTCAGGGGGTGATCTGTGGTCACAGCATCCTGCTCGGCCACGGCTCTGCAGGGCATGCAGGGTCCAAGGAGTGGCAGCCCCATCCCCTAGAGTTTCGGGTCATGACCCCCTATTGCAGATCCCTGTAGATCCCAGCTCCAGGCTGGCTCCAGGGCTCAGGCTAGGGCGGCAGCATGTGCTGAAGTGGTGGAGAAAATAAGGGCATAAGACCATTCTGGAATTTGTGAAGTCATGTAAAGCAAGCTAAGGCCAATGTGCTGTGACTGAGGGCTGAGCAGTGCTTTGGCCATCTGCCCCTTGAATGCCACCAGCCTTGGACAGCTCAGCTGCAGATGCAAGAGTCAGGTGGGCAGTTTGGGGAGTTGGTGGCTTTTTCACACCGGGAAATTGTGATGAAGAGTGACCAGAAAAAGACCATGTGGTTAAAGTGCTTTGTCACAGTGGAACTGCCTCATGCCACGGGGCAGGGGGGGACAGTACCTGACTGGCAGCACTGGAAGCCAAGAGCTGCAGCAAGATTTTGCCTGGTTCCTCAGAAAGTGGCAGAGTTTCCTCTGCTGCCCCCAGCTCAGCTGCCAGCGCAGCTGGGCAGGGGGAGAGGCTGAGTCCTCACTCACACAGAATCTGACTGTGCCAGGGCTCGGATGATGCATCCACAGGAATTCTTGCCAGCCAGAAGGCACTGCCCTTTGTGTGAGTACCTTCCTACACATACAGGAGTGTGTGCTCACACATGTGTGTGCCTGGGGTGTCACCTGTACACATTCTGAGCAGGCACTCACACCACTCTCTCCATGAGCTGGTCCCACCCAACACCGTTGGCATTCTCCCTGTGTGCCCAGGACACATGGGAACAGGTTGTGCAGCACATTTATACCCCCAGCCATGTGTACATCACACACTTCACATGTTGCCACGTCCCGTGGGGAGCACCCACGCTCCCCATGCCTGTGCAGCTGTTTCTCAAGGCAGTGCCTTCCCCACCAGCGTGTTTGTGACTGCTCTGGATTTAGGATCTGTGGTTCTCACACTTGGAGGGGAGCAAGCTGGCTCTGAGCTGGGAGCAGAGCTTTCTCCATGAACAGAAATGCCCTGAAGGCACAGGCTGCTTTCCCAACTGCTTCGCTGCCCTCGTGGAAGTGTTTTATCTTTAGCTCTGCTCTTTCATAGCACCCAGAGAAGCCAGTGCTTTGGAAGGCCTTTCCCCTGTGTCTGCTCAGCCATTCCCATGTGGAATTCCCCTCTAAGTCACAGCAGCTGCTGGATCAGGCACTCTGCTCCACGCAGACGATGAGCAACCTGTCATTCCACACTGGTATCCAAGTTATCCTGCCTCATGCTTCAAGGCATCAGCTGACAGCCAAAAGGAGCGGGAGGAGAGTTCCTCACGTTTGCAGTATCTCATAATTCAAGGTCTGAGTTGCTGTTCGGTTCTGCCAAACCAAGCCCAGACCCTGGTGCCCCTCTGAAATGCCAAGGGTGACAAACTGCAGTAGCACAGATGGTCCTGGAGGCAAAAGGCATGAGAAAGGGAGATCAGAGGGGAGTTAGGAAGCAACAGGAAAGACAGCAAAGGCTTGCAGGCATTTTGATGATGCTAGTGAATAAAAGTGCTTCCATCTCTGAGAGAGAAAGATAGTGGCAGGAGTACATGCAATGAATTCTTTAGGACATAATATCACAGTAAGGAGCACATAAAAATATGTAGCTCATTTTCTTGGTTTGGTAGGCAATAATCTACCATGGTGTCTCTGAATGCAGTTTAAAACCAAACAACTTGGTCTGTTTCACGAGGGGTGGTGAAAGGACTCAGAAATACTCCAGGTGTGGTGCTAACGCTGGCCTAAGTAAAGGATCAACTACCAACACTTTCCTGTGCCCCAAATACTTAAAGGAATAAAAATGGTCATTTCATCCCAAAATACTGACTTTAACAGTTCCACTGAGGAATATAGGTGCCTGATTCACAACAAATATTTTAAATCTGGGTCTTCAAGTGAGTTCAAAAGTAAAATGGTCTTGCAGGAGATCCAGGAGAAATAACTCTGAGAAGCTCATGCTGGGGTATGAGCTCTTCAGCCTCGCTGAGCTCCAAAGATTCTGGTAATTTTTAATCCTTCCGATCCCCCAAACACCCCCTCACAGGTCAGGTGTGGGTTATTTTTCTATTTCTAGTCTTCTCTGACAAGCTATGATGAAGCTTATGGATATTCCGCTATTATAAAGGTACTTTATGTATTTTCCACAAGATGTCCAAGGTAAATTCAGCTTTGTTAACATCTGTGAGTGACCCACAGCACCAAACACACAGTCAGAGATGAGCTGAGATTTCACCTGTACCCAGGTGAACCATCCCAGCAGTTAATGCTCTTGGGCAGATCTGCCACACGAAGCATGAGGCATTTAAATCAGATTATAGAGGCTTGTCTAGGGCAGACACTCCTGGGCCTCTAATCACGAAACCCACACTTGTGGAAAGCAAAGAATTCTGCAGTCCTGTGCACAGCCTGGCTGGCTGATGTGTGAATTTGTCAGTCAAGGAAACAAGAGACTTGAGCAGCAGGAAGAGTGGTGGAGAGTGCTGGAAGCAGCCGTGCAGGCTCCCTCCAGATTTCTGATTCCTCACATTCATCCTGGCCTTTCTGCCCCCCAGATAATGGAGAAAGACATTCTCTGGGGAGTCCCCTTTACCTCCTGTTTTGTATGGTAAATGCAGTGGTATTTATGTAGCTGCAAGTTTCCATGGGTGCTGTACTCCATGCAGGGGGGTAGATGATGCTAGAGTGGAAATACACTCGTGGTCACATCACAGGGCAATGGTGAGCGTCCATGGGCTCTCCAGAGCCCACAGATCCCTGCCAGCCTCTCACACAATGTGTCCAGGCTGGGGAAAGGTCTGCTGAAAGCTGGATTTTATCCCTCTGGTCTCCTTGTGAAGCCCCACAAGTTGTGATTGTTCTCAACAGACCCACTCTCAATTCTCCAGAGTTTCTCTTGTGGAAAGCAATGCTAAGGGAATCCCCCCCTTTTCTTTAAAAGGTCACATTTCCTACGTGGTTGCCCCTTCTTCAGACATCAGAAAGTTGACTCATCCAGCACAAAAGGCATGTGGTGAGTAAGCCACCTTTCTATGTAAGGAAGCTGGGGATGGCCCTGAGGGGAAGGAAGGAGTAACGTAAGTGAAGCAAGTGGCAAGTAGAGGCTCGGTTTCAGCACACAGTTCCTTCCAAGAAGATTTCAAAGCAGTTGCAGTTTACCCATAAATAAATAAGCAAATAAACAAACAAATAAATAATTGTGCAAACTGTGGCATAGAGAGAGGTGTGACTTAAGCTCAGGTCTGCCAGCAAGGCAATGGTTAAAGGAATATCTGCAGAGCCCATTGTCCTGCCTGGTGGGGCACAAGCACTCAAAATGAGAAGCTTCCTTAGCAGCCTCATGGGAAGAGCTGGAGCACAAGTGGGCAGCATTTGTTTCCCGTCATTTCTAGGCTTTCCAGGAAAGCTAAGGAAAGAAGTGGCAAAGAGGAAGGAAGAAAAACAAGCAGAGAAAGACCTTATGCACCCTGCCTTAGAGATGAAGCCTGGCTGCTGGGGTGGGAGGATGCAGCTGGCTTCACACCTGACCTGGATGATGCTGAGCCCTCTCCAGGGAGCTTCGTCATGCGGGGCAGGAGCAGCCCCTCCTGCAGTGCAGCACACAGAGAGCCAGGCTGCTGGGACAGGACATGGGGAATGGAGTACCCGGGGGCTTTGGAGAGCTCCCCACGTGAAGGGGACAGGAATGGGGACATCAAGGATTCCCCAACACTTAACTGACTCGATTGTGGAAACTCAGCAGTCCTCTGCAGCTAGGGGGGTGAGATGAGAGTTGATGTCTTAAATGTCTTAAAACTTGGTTTTAAAACTTAGAGTAGAGCTCAGGAATGACTGGCTTCCACATCTGTACCAAGAGCACCAGGACATGCTCCTTGTTTTAATTTTATACCACATCCTGTTCTCCTACAATAAATGCTTTTTTTTTTTTCTTTTTTGGTAAGGCCCTGTGAAATAATTCCCATGCAGTTTATCTCCATGTAGGACCAACCCAAGGTGAGAACACTGATACCCATTTCAGATTTTGAAGGTACTTCCAGCTGGGGTCAGGTGACATTTCCTTGTTCTAAACTCACCTCACAGTTTCCACATTTATTTCTTCCTTTTTCTAAGTTATGATTAATGTTGGGAAAGAAAGCAGAAAAAGATTTAGAGGAAAAGTCAGCAGACATCAAAGACTAGGAGATGTAGGGAGAGACAAATGTTTAATGCAATCTTTGCACTATGATGGTGTAACTGATGGTAGTTAACGATAATTTATTAAACAAATGACTAAAAGAACAGCTGTGCTTAGGGCTGGGTTGAATGAAGTGTGGGATTTTC